TTTTTTTTTTTGTTTGTTTGAAATGTAATTTTAAATTTAACTATTACATAATTTTAATTTATTTTTAATTTGTGTTTAATTATTTCCTTATTCCTTATTTAAACTTGATTTTAGTCTTAGAATTAATTTTTTCTCCCTCTCAGCTATATCAATGTTTATGGTAGAGTAGCGACTGCCGCTGAATTGTTATGTTACGTATACGCCCCTACACTTACAAGGTGAATTAAAGTATTTTGCAAATATGTTTCAGTTCAAAAAATACTACTTCCTCTCCAGGTTATAAGAGTTAATTAATTTTTTCGCTTTTCCTTTTCATTGCAGAAATCAGCCAAGGCAAATCGGCCACAGGCAACAAAAACACGCTGCATTGATTTTTTCACTGCCATCGTTAAAGTGATGACTTGAGAGAATAGAACACAAACAACTGGTAACTTAATCGCTTCATTTTGTTTATGCGTCACGAGCAGCGTGTTTACGTAATGTGTGAAAGTGTAAAGCTGGCACAAACGAACGGGCCAACCAAAGCAACCACAAAGCCAACTGACGCCACCGGCGCACAGCGCTGATTGTGCGAAAGCTACATACCAGGCAAACATAGAGCAAGTAAACAACAAGGCAGAGCAAAATAATAAATAAATGCAAAAAGTGAAACATAGTTGCCGACGCCAAAGCCAGAGTTAGGGAACAACAACAAGGCCGATATAAATTGGTCAGCAGCAGTAAACCGTGGACCTGTGCTGGAGCTGTGTGTGGGAAGAAAGCCGGAGGCACAGCACTTGAAGTCAACTATAAATAAAAAAAAGCGCATATACTACAACAACAATAAAAATTATAACAAAAGCAAAGTCGCCAACACAGCGCCTTCAAGAACAATCAATTGTTGCAGCGAAATTGCGGTGTGTCTATATTGCCGTTGCTACGGCTCGACTGTTGTTGACAATGACAGTGAATAAGAAAGACGCTTAAATAGAGTGGCATACATAAAGCAGAAGACACGATAAAGTGCGGATAAAGCATCTAATAAACACAACAGACAACAACAGCACAGGAAATATATGAAAATAAGACAGGCGCTGGCTTTATGCTGACAGCAAAAGAAATTAACACAAAAGACTGAGCGACTCAAGGAAAGCAGCGGTGTTGAGGGTAAACAACAACGCTCGTTTAACGTAGAGCGGGGTGTAGTAGGCGCAGCAGCGACACACAAAGCAGTCTCTACATAAAGCACACAGCGCTCAAGCGAGTATATTATACTTTCCGGCATTTGGTTATGACGCACGTTTGTCAAATGAATCAATTTACATTCTAAAAGTGTCGCTGGACAAAGTGCAAAGCAGCAAAAATAAAGCGGAGGCCAGCCGGAAGAAAAACGACATAAAACTGTCGACATTATCGAGGCTTGTCCATTTGTAGGTCACTCACAAATGCCCACAAGCAGGAATACCAGATTTTGATTATCAACCTAATTTGAACACCAGGCAGACAGACAACGTGCTTGACGTAAATGTGATTAGACTTGAGCGCACTGAATGGTTGACGGCCACGTGGTAGCATAAAAGAATACAACAAAAGCTATTGACGCGGGAAGTAATGGCGATCATGATTAGTAATTTGACAGTTTAAATGAACTGCAGGCACGCAGTCGGCAACGAAGTAGCGGCATTTAAGGGAATAAATAAAAAAAAATTAAATAAAAAACTTGAAACCCGTCATTGAGCGCTGACAAGTGGAGTGGGATATTATTGTTGCTGAATACCGTTAGACAAAGAGCCGTATTAATGCACTTACGCAGACAAATGCTAATAAAACCCAGACCATGCCTTTAATGGCTGGCTTTAGACTATGAGAGAAAGAAGCAAAAATATTACAACAAAAATAGAACTACAATAAAAATAAATTTTCAACAAAAATCACAGAACACACCACGACTGGTTAGAAAACTAAACGCTTAGTGGTGAAAAGCACAAGCGGCACAACTGCGTAGCATACATTTAGGAGTAGACAAAATAAAGCGGCATGCACACCCAAACACGCACTTGCTGACACTACACACACACACACTACCGGCTGCATACCGCGAGGTGCACATACATGCTCGTACACAGCTAGCGACTAAAGCAGAGTGCACGTAATATTAGCAACAACAACAACACAATGCGCCAACAATCAACTGCCCGCCTCTTACTGCCCATCACGCTGCTAGTGTTGGCCAATTTTCGCCTTGCACTAACCTGCCCCGCGGAAGTGTGCGCCTGCAAGTGGAAGGGTGGCAAGCAGACGGTCGAGTGCGGCGGCAAGGAGCTGCCGAACATACCCGAGGGCATGGATCCCGGCACGCAAGTGTTGAACTTCTCGGGCAATAGTCTGCAAGTGCTGCAAAGTGAACGCTTTCTACGCATGGATTTGCTGAATCTACAGAAAATCTTTCTATCGCGCAATCAGCTCATACGCATACACGAGAAAGCCTTTCGCGGTCTGACCAATCTCGTGGAGTTGGATTTGTCGGATAACTCGCTGCAAAATGTACCCACCGAGACGTTTCAAGACTATAGTTCGCTGATGCGTCTCTCGCTAAGCGGCAATCCCATACGCGAGCTGAAGGTGTCGGCTTTTCGGCATCTCTCGTTTCTGACAACGCTCGAGCTGAGCAACTGTCAGATCGAGCGTATTGAGAATGAGGCCTTCATTGGCATGGACAATCTGGAGTGGTTGCGTTTAGATGGCAATCGCATCGGTTTCATACAGGGTCAGCACATACTGCCCAAATCGCTGCATGGCATCAGTTTGCAGAGCAATCGCTGGATGTGCGATTGCCGTTTATTGGATCTGCATATGTGGCTCAACAACTATGTGACGCCACAGGTCGAGGAACCCAAGTGCGTGGAGCCGCCGCGACTGAAAGGGCAAGCGATCAAGACGCTGAAGAAGGACGAACTGGCTTGCTTGCCAGAGGTCACACCCTCATCGACGTACACGGAAATCTCGGAGGGCCGTAATATGTCGATAATGTGCGTGGTGCGCGCTATACCCGAGCCGCAAGTATTGTGGCTCTTTAACGGTCAAGTGATGACCAATGACAGTCTAATTGATAATCTACATATGTACTACTATATTGATGAGACGGGCAGCGCCGAGGAGAAGCGCAGTGAGATTTTCATCTATAATGTAGGACCCGAGGATAATGGCACCTTTTCGTGTGTGGGCAAGAATGTGGCGGGCATAACTTTCAGCAACTACACGCTGCGTGTTATCATCAAAGAACCGCCTGTGGTGAATGAGGTGTCCTTTCCACGCGACTACATGAACTATATCATCGCTAGCAGTACGGGCGCCGGCGTCATATTTGTTGTGCTGCTTTGCACGATAGTGATTAAGTGCAAACAGCGTCAGCCGAACAAGCGCAAGAAGTGTGCCAATGGTGGCTCGGTTACCAATGTGGTTGGCGGTGGTGCACACGCTACAGAGAGCAGTGGCAACGAGACGGGTTTGATGAAATGCTCGTCCATACTGAACGATGGCGACTCACTGAACGGCGGCGCGGGACTATTGATGGCTGAGGGCATGACGCCCACCAAGTTGTGTAAAGAGAATGGCGGCGTCATTATGGGCGGCCAAATGCAACAGAATTTACTGCTCTACGCGCCCGCGCACTATCAACAGCAAACGGCCAACAGCGCGGTGCTGGGCGATGGCGGGCAGACGCTGCAGTTGAGCGTTAGCATGGCTAGTGCGAGCGGTACGCCGCCGCCAATGTTAGTTGGCAATGCTGTCAGCTACTGCTCGCCGCCTTCATCGGTACGCAATTACGCGGAGAAGAATCCAGATTTGGTTAATGACGCTGAGAGCGTTAAACATGGCAAGCTGAAAACAACAGCGTCCTTTGACGCAGACTACGATGCGGCCAGTGATTGTTCGGGGCCATGTAGCATACAGGGTATGTCGACGACGCCGGTGCAATTCGACAACTGCTACCAGCTGGCACCACAGTATGGCTCACAGATAATACGGCCGGCAAACATGCAGCTGAATACTGCTGCAACAGCGCGCTTTGGCGCCATGACGACATTGCCGCGTGGCATGCAATTGAAGACCGTAATGAACAGCTTGAGCGCCGCACCGGCGCCACAACACCAAGTGGACGTGCACTTGAATCCAGTATGCTTCCTGGGTCAGGATGGCTTTGCTTATGATTACAGCAACGCGCACTTGCAACAGTCGGCGCCTCCACCACCTTCGCATCATCACCTACAGCTGCAGCCGCAACATTCGTTGGGCGCCGAATCCGCAAACGCACAACACATGCAACAGCAAAACTTCTACCGCACTCTACCACACAACCGCGCGCACAAGCAGCAGCAATTCGCCGCGTCCGCTGCGAATCCGGGCATGCGTTACAGTCTGGAGGCGGAGTTCTTGCAGCGCTCCGGCACGCCAACCTACGACAAGTATATGCCCAATGTGCGCTTCACAGCCGAGGGCTACCCACAAACACAACAACAGCATATAGTGCAGTACCCGTCGCCACCGGATGGCTACAAGAGCAGCCAAAGCCCCGCGCCCAGCCTCCATGACGGCGGCGCGGTAAGTGGCGCGGGTGGCGTCGCTTCCACAATATCGAATGCCACATTTCAGCAGTGGCCACCCTGTTTGCCTGGCTATCATGTGCAGGCCATACGCTATCCGCCGACCATTGTCGGCGTATTAAGCCCACAGGCGCATATGCAACAACAGCAACAACAACAGCAGCAGCATATGCTGCAACAGCAACAGAAGTCAACGCCAACAGTTGTGTTAACACCAAATGGACCAACAAATCAAACACAAGTGCCCACATCAATAACAACAACAGCGGTCACGGCTATGGCCACAGCGAGCACCAACACGTGCGGCACCACGTCCGCGTCGACCGTCGCAAAACGTTGTGCAGCTGCGCAGGCTGACGCTTCCACCATACCCGAATGCGATGAGAACGACGTTTCACCCACCACATCGACAGCGGCCAGCAGCAGTAATGACGGCAGCAGTAGCAGCGCCACCACAGTAACCATATCTGCAAGCAACACGACGGCCACCACGGCGGCCACAGCAACTGCCACCGAAGAATCCTCAAAGCTGCGGCATTTAAACGGCCCCTTGGCGGATAGCCCAGACGAAGGCTATGTGGGTGATTCACACGAAGGCTCCGATATATGACGACGCGGCGCTAATGGCAGCTGCGCGAATGCACACGGCAAAGCGGGCGGCAGCAGTTGTAGTGCGGTCAAAATGGACGACTCGGTCGCACTGTAGAATGGGCACAGCCAAAAGCATATGTTGCGTGAGTAGCTGGGTGAGGAATTAAATTATGTGTGAATACATACACACGTATGTACATACGTGCAGGCTTCAGCTTCACGCGCTGTAATTAGGTGTGAAATGAGGTTGGTCAAGTTCTATAGGCTGCGCTGTTTAGCTCATTGCTTGCATATTAGTTGACAATTTTAATCACGGTAATAATAAAGGGTACATTCAAAAGTACATTAGCATTTTAATAAAACTTGTAGTACTACTTATCAGCTAGCCTTAACCATTGCAGAGTTTCCAAATCATAATCTTAGTACTAACACAGCTACTCCATCTGCTGTCTTCTCTACCAAGCTTAGCTAAAAATCGTTGCAATGAAGGAGGAGTAGATGCAAATTTTTCCAGCCAAAGTGTCTCATCATCTCCCGACTGCTCTCATTTGCCATTAAAGTGAAGTTTTTTTTTTATATTTTTTGTTTTTCTTTGTTACCTTACTCATTTCCTCTTACTTGCGCTTCGTTCTTCGTGGCCAGTCAAGCGTTAAATTAAACGACAGCTTTATATTTTTTCCATTTCGATACCTGTCGCAAGCTCTCATTGTGTCCGTATGCTGGACGTTTCCACTAGCAATAACAGCTTTTATTGATTTCAATTAACAGCCACCATAGAGTACGCCAGGCCAGTTATGGAAGAACAAGGTAGTCAGAAAACAAAAAATATGTTAATTTTTTCCCGGAATAATTTTTTATTTTTATTTTTTTTTTGTGTTTTTAATTTGATGGTTAAGCTTTAGTAGGTGACAGCTGACATGATGTGCAAGTATTGCAAAAAAATGTTAATTAGTAATTTTCTTTGTCATATGTGACCTGGTCTGCGGAAACGAGGCTTAGGTGTCAAAAAATCCAAAAAATCAATTTTCACTTTTTAGTTGATTCGGATGGAAGATGAGATTTTTATTTAACAGCTGTTTCCCAGAAAACTAGTTTCGCACGTTAGCTCGCTTTTCGTAGACCAGGTCACATATAGGTCAAAATGAGGACTAAAAACCTACATTCTATTGTAAATTTCTTATTGAAATCACTTTTTTTATGTGATCAGGTGGCATCCTTTAAAAATATTAATTATTTAATAACATTCTGTTAAAAAATTCTGTTTTTAAATTATTAAAAAAAAAAATTTTAATCTGGTGGCAACTCTTAATCACATTGAATTGTAAAAAACGTGCAACATTTGCTGTTAACAAGTTGTATGCAGACATTACATTGAAAAGTTCTGGTTTTAAATGCCAAAAAAATATTTTAAATCAGTTGGCAACTCTTAACAAGAAAAAAAAGTTTAATAAGGTAACATACAAACAGGCATTGTATTGAACATTTTTCATTTAATAAAAAAATGTGTATATATACACATACTTATATATGCAGGTGGCAACTCTTAATGCTCATAACTTTATTATAACTTAGCATATTTGACCACTTTACAAATCGAAAAACAGGCATACGAACCCAAATTCTATTGCAACTTTTTTTTTTTTTTCAATTATTATTATTATTATTTGTTAATTGAATGGCAACTCTCAATAAGAAAATTTTTTTAATGAGGTAACAGACATTGTTCCAAAAAATTTTCATTTTAAATAAAAAAAATATTGTACAATCAGGTGGCAACCCTCAGTAATAATGATGGTATAAATAATATTCTCAAACTTGTTCGATATATTTTTCATACAAAATTTATTTAACACATAATATTTCTTACATGAATAACAGGTGGCAACCTTGTTAGAAAATTCTACGTAAAACAGCTCCCCAAATTTCAAAGAGAATTATAGGTGATTAGTAAAACCTTCAGAATATTTTTCTCATTTTGAAGTAATTTTGTTAATAATTTGGTGGCAACTCCTAAAACAATAATTTTGCAATAATCTACAACTTTTGAGCCACATAAGTTTTTTTTATTTTAAATAATAATAATAATATTTTTAAATAATAAACATATTTATGATCTGGTGGCAACTGTTAAGAATAATAAATTTTTAATAACTTTTGCTGCTAGACAAGTTGGAAAGAGGCATAAAAACAGATATTTGTTTAGAAATTTTTGGTTTAAAATTAAAAAAAAAAATATTTATTTAATCAGATGGCAACTCTTAATAACAAAAATATTTCAAATAATATTCAAAAATTTAACAGAATATTATATATAAACATTTTTTGAACATAACCTTCTCTTATATTAAGAACAGGTGACAACATTGTAAGATAATAAAAAGGTGACTAAATTTTAAAGTAAATTTTGAGCAATTAGTAATTGATTTGCTAATGAATGAAGTATTTGTATACTTACTACATATTTAGCTCCCTTAGAACTTCGCCGTTAACAAACATATTTTTTACTTTCACACCACGAAAAACTTCCCCCTTTGTTTCTTATATAAAAAATATTTCTGCAACAGTCACTGCTTGGGTTGCACAAACTCATATAACTTTCACCATTAAAGATATTTTAATTAATTCAGAGCTTCCTCATTTTCTTAACCAACGAATTTTATTATCTTCCCAAGATGCTATGACCTACTATTCGCCCTTTCTTTTCCGGTTAACCCATCTCAAAGCCTCTGGCCTAACGTGGATCAAGTAAAGTGGTAAAACCACAATTCTGGTCACCTTATTCAGTATTCAAAGCAAACAATAAAAAAAAGAACTTTTCACAGCGCGCTCACCAATGAAGAAACGGAAAGCGCGAACAACGAGCGCAAATTTCTTTAAATAATTTTTCTTAAATGAAAACAAAAGATTTTGTTGCTCAACTTGCCTTTATGCGCTGCCACTTCCTAGAATTTATGTGCACGTGCCTTTCATTCAGTTTCCATTCATTCATATACTACAATATTAGCTGCGCATCCCGCCATTTACATTTCAACTTGACTTTTTTGACTTATTTGGCATGCGATTTTATTCCAGTTGATGTAATTGAAAAAGTTTTCATTCCATTTAACTTTGTCCCATTCTTTGAAGTCCTTCCCCCAACTCACGGTGAATAGCTTAAGGTGCGCGCTCGAGAGGTAAACTCCTCGATAGAACGSCAAACTAGGCAACGAAGTAGATATAATTTCATTTAGACAGACATACCATTCAAACCATAAGCCTTTGGTATTCGGGGCAACTTCTCAACAATTGATTTCTAGGCCAAATGCGCTTTTGTTCGACTATGTGCTGAGCGACGCTGGCTAGAAGTGCCCGAAATGCTTCAATATTGTGCTACTAAAGCATCAATCTGGAACGCAGATTGCAAGGTGTGCCGCGTTCGAAGAAACAACACTCCGCTTCCACTTTGTTTCAGTAAAATGAACACTAAAGCGTGGGCAAGTGTGAGAGGAAGTGGGAAAGGAAGAAAAAGGGCCGCTTCAAGCGCCAGAATGAGCGACTTCAAAAGCGCTAAAGAAGAAAAGCAGACAGTAGCTGCTGTTAAACAAAGCATTTTACATTATTAGCAACAAAGGTATTTCTTTATGATTTCATATGTGCCACAGCACTCGTGTAATCTTATTGCCGACAGGCTAAGTACACATAGAAAAACAGGTCGTGTCTATATAAGCATGTTCATTTCAAGTGTGCACGCTGAAGTCTGCTTTCAGACACGCACAGGTGTGACACAATTCTGTGAAAACAATACAAATAAATATGCGCACAACGTGAAATTGCCATTATAAGTACACTCGAGCATACGGTGTTGAGTATATGCCACTTCCTTTTCTTTGCAGGCTTTTTGATTGTGAGAAACGCGCGTAAAAATCAAATTAAAAGTGACGACTTGGCAGATACACCAAAATGGCGTTCATACAACACTGCTTTCGTATATATTAAAAATATATATTTTTTTCAAGCAAATACTAACACTCGCTGGCGGCATGCTCGCTCACTTATGACAGTGCAGTCCCTCGTTTTGTTTGCCAGAAAATTTATTAATAATCATACGCCGCTTCTAGCAGCGCTGCAATTTTGGCACGAGCGCCACTTCACTTGTGCCAGTTAACTACAATATGTTTTATTTTTGCAAATACCGTTGCAGAAGGTGACAGCAAATATCAATAAGTGAAGAATGCGAAAACGGATTTCTAGCATCTCTCTTCTTTTGACATGAACACGCCGCTCAAACAATTCAGTTGCCAGAAATAACTGCTGTTGAAGCTAATACGAAGTGTAAAAGGGGTGACTGTACTTGAAATAGTTTGAAATAACATATTCTGTAGAATTTCAATTAAGAGAAAGATTCTATGTTACAGATGTTGCACTTCTGCTTAAGAAATTATTTGATTTCATTATAAACTAATTTGCCTTAAATTGGCTCATAATAATATCTCATAAATACAGTGTGTGGCATATATTTGTGTCGTTTCTGTCACCTTCCATCAGTTCGTCTGGTATAACAATTCTGGCTTGAGCTCTTCAAGCGCTTCTTGATTGTTTCTCAAATTACCAAAACAATTTTTATAACAGAAAGTCTTGTTAGCACCAGTAGATTATTACATGAGGACTGCAATGGGACCCTTGACACCACTAGCTGTCGATACGTTTTCAAGTATTCATATCCCACAATAATGCGTCAACCATCACTCAGTCGGTCCATCCGAATGTCTTGATTGTTTAGTTAGATTGTAAGCGAACCACATATGTAGAATTCGTTACTTTCTCATGATCAAATATTCAATACAAGCGCCAAAACCTTCTCTGTATTTCTCTATATTTATGCACTTATTCTGCTACTAATTGCTGTGTCTGGCTTCTTTTATATTTAAAGCATTTCAAAGTCACAATTTTCTCTCCAAAGTATGTTCATTTAATTTAATTTAATGTTAATAATGATTCGACATACCAAAATATCTATTAAAAGTAGTTTCAGATTCAGTAGTTTGACTCAAATTGATTCTGAGCAGAAATCTCACCGATATTTTCAATCAGTTCATTCAAATGTATTGTTTGTTGGTGAACGACATATCGACTATCTGTCACTCTCTCGTGCTCAACAACAATTCGATAACAAAGGATAACGTTGACCATAATATTATATTTATAAACTAGTTATGTTTCTGTTTTCATCTTTGAAGCGTTTCAAAGTCATAATTTCCTTTCCAAGACATGTCTAGTCAATTCAATTCGTTAGCAAAGCTCATTGTCATTATAGCAGTAGTAGGATAAGTAGTAGGATAAAAAATACCCGACATAAATTATATTACAGATCCAGCATTTCGATTCATTTAGTAGATTCTGGGCAGCATACTTGAGGAAACCTTCAATCAGTTCATTGGGTTGATGGTGAAGCGCTCGTCGCCTATATGTCACTCTGTGGTACTCAAAAACTATTGAATACAAACTACGAGACTTTGACTGTTAACCACAATTTTTATAACCTATATCTGTTTCTGTTTCTGTTTATATTTTTGTTTCTGTTTGAATATCTTCAAAATCAAAAATTAATTTCCAAGCCATGTCCGGTCAATTCAAATCAGTATTGAAGCTCTTTGTCATTATTACAGCGGTGAGGTAAAAAACTGGCTCACATTGTAAAGCAACTTTTTGTAGTCTAATATGTTTCTGTTTCTGTTTAAAGCGCTTCAAAGTACAAATTTCTTTTTGGAAGCATATCTATCCAACTCAATTCGTTGGATAGGCTCTTCCACATTATCGTAGTTGCGAGAAAAATGATGACGCACCCAGTACAGCAAT